AAATTTATAGTTTTTTTTAACATCTGCATATTTATTCGATAAATATGCAGATGTTCAAAAATTCCACGAGCAAATTCTGAAGAAATTTTGAAAAATTATTATTGTTTTCTGTACACTTCTACCAGAATTCGTAAGTAGATTCTCATTTAACAGTGAGAAAATAACTGAACTCAGTCGAGGAGAGCGACCATATACTCCAACACTGTTGCTATCAAATGTTAAGCCGTATTTCATACCAAGTCAAATAATATTGGGAAACCGTCACAGACCACGTAAAAATCTAGAAATTTTTTCATCACAAAGATTCACCAAGACCCGAAACAATCGTCTGAACCTCGCGTTCTAGTAAATGCTATTCGCGAGTGAATAACGCATCATCAACTCTATTGCTGTTTCGATGAGTAACAATGGAGTTTCACAACCCGTTTTACGTGAAGTGGTGTGATACTCCATGTGAAAAACGCGATATGAAGTGAAGTGACTTGGCGAATTAAACCGGACAAATATTTCACATTCGTGAAGTGAAACTATTTTTCATATCACTAGGGTGGTGAAACTCCATTGAGATTGTAACACATCCGTACTCACCTGGCAGCTTCCATAGAAACACTAGGAAGGCCGAAATTCGACGTCATAATGTAATCCTTCTGACCAGGGAACTGTCTAATCGACCATATCACACAGTCCTTCTCCGGATGATATTTCACCGAACCTAAAAATGACTAATAAAAATCGCTTCGCTCCGCTCAAGTATCCTCCAACCTGTGCTAGCCTTGCATTGCGGAGTGTCGACATCCCCGGGCACAGGAACGTGAATCTCAACCGAGTTAGCTATCGATCTGGAAATAATTTCGTGGCGCGTGACGGTTTTCCCAATTTCCCACCTGCTCTTGAATTGGCTCTTCGCCTTAATCATCACTTCCAGACGCCTTCCCGACTGACTCGGATCAACTACCGCCTCAACCGTAATCAGAGGCTTCACTGGAGTGTTCAAACGATAACTGAAAAAAGCGCGCGCCTGGGTAATCGATTTTCGAAAATACCAACAAACCTCATCAGCTCAAATTCGCCATCAGGTGGTATGAACGATATCGTCCTGTCCTGCTCGAAACGACTGACAAAAAAATTTCCTAGCGGAGCGAAGCGCTTCACGAATCTACAAAATCACCTGAGTCGGACGCATTGGTGAAACTTGATATCTTCCATTTCGACGCCTTTCCCCCCTCGACTGGATCCACCAGCTCTGATGAGAAATTCGCTTAACAATTTCATGGCGCGCGACATATTACCCGCCAGCCGCGAGCAACTTGTCGTTCAAACCCAATTTACATTCGGGCATTCCCGAAAGGAACGACTTCATTTTCAACGACCCAAAAATCTCAGATCTGCAAAAATCGGCGGAGCGATGCATTTTTTTCCAAAAGTTTTCCCCACTCACTGTAAAACTTGTCCGTTTGCCGCTACCAGTAAGTTCAGTTTCTCGATGACATCGAGGAAAATTTCATTCTTTTTATGCTGAAGAGAAGGTACATCTCCAAATCGATCACTCGGGCGAGCGCTAACCTTAATGCCCTCAGGCCTCCAACTAACTGCACTTGTCGCTGCTGAGGGCGGCGCCTTCATTTTATCAACTTTAACTTTTTTATATTCCGTTTTGATATATTCCCGGAGGATCTTAGTTTCCGTAGTCTGAAAAATAGCCAAGTTTTGGAGGAATATATTTTCGCTTTACTCAGCCGAGCTCAGGAGTTTACACGTGATAGTACAGAAATCAACAAAAATTTCCTCAGAATTTTCAAAATCATCACTGGTACATGAAGTTGACCCTGTG